AGTCATTATGGCGCTTTCCATATTCTCCCATTCATGGCACTGAAGTTCCCCAACCGAAGGGGAACGTTCGAGGTTACAGAAGTAAACCTTCGTTCCCCGAGGAGGGGAACGGAAGTGCCATATTCCGTCGCCATAATGACTGTCCCTTAGCTGTTTGAAAGTCTCTTCAGCTTAAAAGGATGGCGTCTGCTGGCTTCAGGTGTGCTTATATGCTGATATGATTGCAGATGTCGCACACCTGCGCAAGCTTACGCTGCCAATTAATTTCATTCATTGGCCCGTTCAATACTCTCCAGATAAGCGGCTTCTGATCCGAATCCTCCCATTCATGGCACTTCCGTTCCCCTCCTCGGGGAACGAAGGGTTACTTCTGTAACCTCGAACGTTTTGGACAAAGTAGTGTAACAGTATGCTGGCTTTTTTAAGCCAACATAAAAAAAATTTTACTTACTGAATGAGATGCTAATGATCTAATTTGATTCAATTATCTATGCTAAGCTAAGCTAAATGTGCTCCCGCAAGACATGGAGATCGGCTGAATGAATAAAAATATGGTAAATCTAAACTTTTCCCTTAATTTTCAGACTTTGTGAATATAACAATGACAGGGAGATGAAAGTGTTTGTGTTGGATTGACCGAGTAAACATACCTTCAGAGTAGTGTGAGAGCGTCAGCAGGCTGACACACGAGGCTCCGGCGCCCGAGCCGAATATGGTGACCCGCTCCGGATCTCCACTGAAGGACTGAATGTTCTCCTTCACCCAGCGCAAAGCTTGGATCTGATCCAGAAGACCATAATTTCCTTTAGCAGCCTGATCTCCAGTGCTGAGGAAGCCTGAAACACAGCAGCGCAAATCTCAGATCCACAACACTGCACACAAACACACACACACACACTCACCAATTAAGTTCAGATTATGTTAAGGTTAAGTTCAGGATTCAATTCAGTTCACCTCTACTTGTTTAGCACTTTTACAATGTATATTGATATTGTCAGGTTAAGTTCTGATTACATTCAAGGTTTGTTCAGGTTAAGTTCCTGCTATGTTTGAATTAAGTCCTGGTTATGTTCTAGTTATTTTCAGGTAAGTTTTGGTTACATGGGCAACACAGAGGCACAGTGGGTAGCGCTGTCACCTCACAGCAAGAAGGTTGCTGGTTCGAGCCCCAGCTGGGTCAGTTGGCATTTCTGTGTGAAGTTTGCATGATCTCCCGGTGTTGGTATGGGTTTCCCCCACCGTCCAAACACATGCGCTATAGGGGAATTGGGCAAGCTAAATTGACTGTGGTGTTTGTCCTGGTCCTCCAGATTGGAAGTTGAGCGTTGGACTAATGACCCACCTTATAAAAATTAGATGTTACAAAACACCAACATGGTGCAGCTAAATATCAACTTCGATATAAATGGCCCAGGGAGTAAGTAAGTAAGTTCAGGTTACAACCAGGTTAAGTTCCGGTTATGTTCAGGGAATTTTCAGGTTAATTTCCCGTCATGTTCAAGTTAAGTTCTGGTTACGTTCAGGATAAGTTCCAGTTATGTCCGGGTAAAGTTTTAATTACATTCAGGTTATATTCGGGTTAAGTTCTAATTATGTCCAGGTTATTTTTGGATTAAGTTCCAGTTAGGTTCAGGTTAGGTTCGGTTTATGTTCAGGTTAAGTTCTAGTAATAAAGGTTTAATTATTTTCAGGTTATATTCGGGTTAAATTCCAATTATGTTTAGGTTATTTTTGGGTTAAGTTCCAGTTATGTTCAGGTTAGGCTCTGGTTATGTCTGGATAAGTTCCAGTTATGTTTTGGTTAAATTCCAGTTATGTTCAGGTTAAGTCCCAGTTATGTTCAGGAAAAGTTTTAATTATATTTAGATTATATTCGGGTTAAGTTCTAATTATGTTCAGGTTATTTTTGGATTAATTTCCAGTTATGTTCAGGTTAGGTTCTGGTTATGTTCAGGTTAAGTTCTAGTTATGTTCAGGTAAAGGTTTAATTATATTTAGGTTATATTCGGGTTAAGTTCCAATAATGTTCAGGTTATTTTTGGGTCAAGTTCCCGTTATGTTCAGGTTAAGTTCTAGTTATGTTTAGGTTAAGTTTTGGTTATGTTCAGGTGAAGTTCTGGTTATGTTCAGGAGTAGTTAAGTTCCTGACATCAATGCTCAAATTATTTTCAGACTATGTTACAGCTAAGTTCAAGTTATTTTCAGGTTATGTTCCTGTTATGTTTAGGTTTAGAGACCACAAATCTGAAGTTTTCATCACAGATTGAACCACAGATTTCATCAATCAACTCTCAGCAAAATGACAATAAAGACAGTCATCCAGTTGCAGTTTTATTTTACTGTGTGCTTTTAAATCATCATCTTTCCTTATGAATTGTGCTGACATACTCAATTACAGCATCTTTATAATCTGAGGCCTGTGATTTGCTGCTTTTCCCTGATGTCCCGCTGTCATCTGCACTCAGTTGTGAACTCAGGATTAAATCCAGATTTAACAGATTCAGTTGATGATCAGCTTCGTAATAAAGCCTGACTGTACTGATCTGGTTTTGTGAACTCAAAAATAATCCTGTAAGCCTGAGTTTGTTCAGCCAGCATCATGAAACAGACAAGATCAACAGAGAAGATCTGCTGAAGTTCGCAGGTGACTGCAGACCCTCCAGGTGTGAAGCTGCTGCTGCTGTGGTTTATAATGGATGAGCTTCATCCATCAGCATTCTGCCTCCAGCATCTCTGCATTATTAATTCCACAAATAAAAGAGCTTCTGCTGACCTTCAGCCTGATGCATATATTTCTCCTGATCTACAGAGCCCAGCCTGACAAAGGTTAATTGAAGGAAGACTTGCAGATGCTCCTTCAATGAGGCTTCAGCTCTTCTGATATTCTGAGTTTATTAGATATTTATTAGACACACACACACACGCGCACACACACACACACACACACACACGTGCACACAGATTGTTCCCTGAATGTAAAGAGTATTTTATTTCAGAGGTGCATGAATACCTTGTAAAGATATTGCAGACCCAGTATGACTTTTGCCCAAGCCTATACATACCTGCCGACCCCTGTCCCTTAAGTCATGTGAAAAAGCTGAATCACAGTGGATACGGGTCAGTAGCTATGTTTACACCCAAAGATGCAAATTAAATGTATGTGCACAACTGGAATACGGCATAACAGATGAATAAAGTGCAGTGCAGACCCTGGTGTTGTCTTGTGTTTGTTCTGTTTACTGTGTGTTAAACGAACGGTGTGTGAGCGAGTCTCGTTCATCACACTGTTAATGTGCTGCGTGACGTGTGTTTTCACTGCAGAATCTGTTCATTCACTTCAGTAGGGCTCAGAGAAGATCTAAAGCATAAATACACAACATACTGTACCGCAAGCAAGCCTGTTCTACTAATGGTAACTAAGACTAAAACAAACAGCTAAGAGAAAACTGATGTTAACCAAAGTAAGTATTAGTACACAAAGCTAAATATTTGTGTCTTTTTTTGTATCTATTTTCACTAGATGCAGAATACTACACTGCAAAACTGCTTTACATACTAAGAGTTTTTGTCTTGTTTTTAGTATACAAATCTAAACATTTTTAAATCATGAAGCATTTCCGCGACAAGCAAAAAATAAGTACTTGTTTTCAGAAATAATGAGTCAAAATTAAGTGTGTTTTTACTTAAAACAAGCTCTATAGTTGAAGGAAACTACAGTATTGGCTTATTTATTTATATTACCATACTTAACAAGTATAGAATTGCCGCAACAGATCAATCACTATAGGTGTTCTGTTACCATAGCAACTATAGAGTTACCCCAACAGATCAATCACTATAGGTGTTCAGTTACCATAGCAACTATAGAGTTACGCCAACAGATCAATCACTATAGGTGTTCAGTTACCATAGCAACTACAGAATTACCCAAACAGATCAATCACTATAGGTGTTCAGTTACCATAGCAACTACAGAATTACCCAAACAGATCAATCACTATAGGTGTTCAGTTACCATAGCAACTACAGAATTACCCAAACAGATCAATCACTATAGGTGTTCAGTTACCATAGCAACTACAGAATTACCCAAACAGATCAATCACTATAGGTGTTCTGTTACCATAGTGACTATAGAATTACCCAACAGATCAATCACTATAGGTGTTCTGTTACCATAGCGACTACAGAATTACCCAAACAGATCAATCACTATAGGTGTTCTGTTACCATAGTGACTATAGAATTACCCAACAGATCAATCACTATAGGTGTTCTGTTACCATAGCAACTACAGAATTACCCAAACAGATCAATCACTATAGGTGTTCTGTTACCATAGCGACTATTCACCTTATTCTTCGCAGACGAGTGGGCGCAGCCATTTGAATCTTTTTTGGCTCGAGACTTCCGGTCTCATTCACTTCCATTCATTTTTAAAAACAAAAACTGCTCGTTTCGCTATTTGATGTTGCAAACTGATATTTCTTATTATATTATTCTACTTGGTCTGTATAGTCATGCAAACATTTGTTTGTAGAGCAAACCATTTGTTTGTAGTTTGACCTTTTTCTGCTGTTTATTATTCCTAGTCATTTCTCCCATAAGCGACTGAATTAGTAGTTCGCGACAACAATAGTATTAATATTAGTAGTACAATCGTGAAAACAGGTGAAATTTGGCATTATAAAATAAGATCAATAGAATAACCCCAACATATCAATCACTATAGTGGTTGTGAAACCATAGCAACTAAAGAATTACCCAAACAGATCAATCACTACACACTACTTGTTCTGTTGTCATAGCAACTATATAAAATTCCCCCAACATATCAATCACTATAGCTGTTCTGTTACCATAGAAACTATAAAATACCGCAACAGATCAATCACTATAGGTGTTGTTCAGTTACCATAGCAACTATAGAATTAACCCAACAGATCAATCATTATAGTGGTTGTTGTTACCAGAGCAACTATAGAATTACCCCAACAGATCAATTTCTATACTTGTTGTTTTACCATAGCAACTACAGAATTACTTTATCACATCAATCACTATAGGGATTGTGTTACCACAGCAACTATAGAATCACGACAGCAGATGAATTGTTTTTATGTTGCCATTTATATTTTTGACTGACACCCATTATTTTAAAGATTTTCTCTCTAATCCACAAGTTATTATTACTTCGTTTTAGCTTTAATAAGTTTACTATAACACATTACGTCTCTGCTGGTTTATTTATGCTCATGACCATCTAAAGCTCAATGACTAAAGCCACACCTACTCATGATGCACCAGTGACGAGGGTTTAAAGCTGTTTATCAGCCTGGGTGAACTTTTCCAAACAAACTTGGCCTGAATTTGCTCAGCATGACCCAACATCAGTTTAACTCTCCTCAAGTGTCTCAGGGTCATATGAAGTACATCCAATCAGAACAGATAATCCTGAAACATCCAGCCTAATTATACAGGGATTCCCTAATTATGATCATCCTCCGCATCGCAATCCTCACATGATCAAGTAAACACATGGATTAAATGCATTTATGAATCTCTAATGGGACTAAAGGAGCCAGAGCAAATCATCATGTGTGAAAACTGACGCTTTCCCCCTCTCAATCTCGAGGGATTTTCTTCTGTCTTTGAATAATCAGATCACTGTGGATTCTGCATAAATGTGTACACGCTTTCTTCAAGCATATATCTGAAATCTCCAGGCAGGCTGTGAATGTTTTCTGCCTTTGACTTTGACAGACTCCGAAACAAACATGTCAAGATAAGCTGTTGTCATGTCCTATCAACATAAATCCTCCTCAAATCCCTGAAT